GGCGCACCTCAGGCCAAGGGGAGGCGGAGAGGGTTGAGGCATGAGGTTGGCGGTGGTAGATCTGAGACGGCAGGCGCGACGGAAGGTGGGCGCGTTCACGCGGCCCCTCCGAGTCAGCCGGCGCCCGAACGTGAACTTCGCACGGGCTTCGCCCCCCATTGTCGCGAACCCTCCAGCTTGACAAGGCAGACGAAGGCCGCGCACTCTCGACGGATCCACGTTGGAAACCGGCCACGGCGCGACTCGCACGGAAGCACCACGGTCGGAACACGAATACTCGGTAGGCGAAGTCGTCGCAGCAAGTGGCCCGGCACTTTGCAGACATGAAAGAGGCGCTTGTGAAACTGAAGAAGATCGGGTGCCAGCGAAGCAGCCGACGCCTGGAACGACGCCAACTGCTCGAGACTCCACCTCGGGGCGGGGAGTGGAGGGCCAGGCCTCGCCAGCCACGACAGGGGAAGACCCTCGTGGCAGCGCCGCCAGACCCATGGGGGGGGCCTTGCTGGCCCGCGCCGGAGAGCCGCCGTCGCCGCCGACGCGCGCCAGGGAGACAGAGAGGCGCACAATTCGACAGAACGCCTGGGAAAAGACTGGAGGCTGCTACGTTGCACGTAACTCTCGAGGTTGCGGCTCGGGCTGCACCGAGGAAAGCAACGCAATTGCCAGGAGACGCCAGACCTCGATCCGCCGCCACCTGGGAGGGCGACGTCGCGCACAACGTCGTCGACGCTGGCCGCGCTGGCGGAAGTCCCCCCGTCGAACTCGACGCGTTGCATCCAGGGACTGGCCCGCGCGGTTGGCCGGGGGATCGGGGCGCCAACGGCAAGCCGCCGCCAGGGTTGGCAATAAAAGAATTGGCAAGACCATCGGCCTCCTAGGCCGCGGCGGAGAATCGCGCGTCGGCGGCGAAGTCCGCCGCCATAGGCCGGCCGCAACAGACAAGGCAAATGCTCGGTTCAGCGACATGCGACGCCTGGAATACGACGCCGTTCCGATCCGCGTCGGCATTGCCCGCGCAGCTGCCGCAGAATCGAAGGAAGGGTAGACGGCGAATCTCATCGATGCACATCCGCGGGCAATGAAAGTCCAGGTAGATGCCCGAGGCCGCGCCGAGCTGCGCGAATCTGAAGCCAGGCGCCCGCCCGCTTGCCGCCACGCATTAGGAATAACTCTCCAAGCCTGCGTCGCCCATGCTGGCGTCGAGGAAAATTACATCAGTCTGTGAATTTTGATCATCACTGAAACAAACAAGATACTCGCGATCGCGGATAGGGGGGCCCAGCCCTGCAGGGGTGGCCCCTGGCCGTCTCGGACCAGGCGCTGGCCGAGGAATTTCAGAAGACACGACGCAGTCGAAAGCGCTGTGGGCGAAGGGGGGAGCGACCACGCGAAGTCCTCGAGCGCCCGACGCCACTGCGTCGAGTGGGGCAAGGGGCAGGTGGCACGCGACCAAATGAAGAGGCGGCTCGACTCCTTCTCTGCACTCTGTCGGTCGCAAGAACTCAAAGCGACGAAATGAGCCGCGCATGTCGGGGCAGCCCCTGCCCCGGGCAAACGCCAGGGAAAGCGCGGGAGGTAGAGGGGGGCGCGAAGACGCGCAAGACGCGGTCAACGGGGCAAGTCACGGGGCGCGCGATCGCAGTCCCCGGCTGCAACCAGTCGCCACTCAGCAACCCCAGCAATCGCCCTGGCCGTCAATCTCAGAGATCGGGTCGCTGGGCGGCGATAGAGGTCTGGAGAACGACGCCGCCGCCGCCGCAGCGCCCACCGCGGCCCCGACTCCGACGAGGACGACGGGCGTCGGAGCCCCATCGTCGACCGGGGCGGTTTCGGCGCCGCCCGACGGCGACCCCGCCGCGGAAGAGCCGCAGCGCTGCATCGCCACCTGCCCGCCCCGAGGCCCGCGGCCCACGACGTCGCGGGGGGTGCTCGCGAGCCACATCCTGCACCCCTGTCCCCTACAGGGCAGCGGCCGACGCAGTCGAAGAGGGCGTCGACAAACAATGCGCAATTCATCAAATCCAGAGCGACGAAATTGGAGCGCGCGCCGCCGCTGAATTGCCCGCCTGCAGGCAGTTTCGAGGAATGCGCAGGACGAGTCGCCGCGCGCCGCTGACCAGGGGCCCGCGTCGCGCGCGGCGTGGCGGAGGGCGCGCCGTCGGAGCGAATGGACCTCAAGCCAGAGGTCGCACTTTGCCACTCTCCTCGGGCACGAGACGCGTCGGCCCGCGGCGGGGCCGCGAGCGCCGAGCGGCCCCGCACGGCGCCCGCGCGAGCCAGGGCGGCGGCGGGCGCGCACGGCTGCGCGCGCAAAAATGAACAGGAGAGATGCCCCCAAAATGCGCCGGGGGAGGCGCGCCGGAACACCACGAGCACAAGGCGGCCGAAATGGATGCGAAGGGACAAGAAGCAGGGACGGGGGAGCGCGCGCGCGGCCCAGCTCGCGCACCCACGCAGCGCCCAGGCGCGGGCAGGGCACCTGGCGGGGCCCACTGCCCGGGGCCGCGCCCCGCGCGGCGCCCCGCGCCACCCTAGCCCGCTGGCGACGCGCTCCCGGAACCCCAGGCCCGCCCAACCCCGCCCCGCGGGGCGGGCGGGGGCGGAAAGGG